TCTCATATTTTAATATTGTCTAGATGAAAACTTTATTTGAATTTTTCTTCTGTGATTACTTTTTTAAAAAATAATAAAATAAACTTTGAGTATTTTTTCCACCCATCTTCTGAAAAGATTATGGTCAATTTATGGTTATAGTAGGTAATGAAAATCCAGAAGACTTAAGACAATCCATAATATTATGTAAAAACTTGAATCTTTTTTGTTTTTTTGGTTATTAAATATAAACGTTCAATACTCTTCACAATAAGTTCAAAAGTTATCTCTGAATCTTTTTATAGAATGACGACCAGCAAGACGTGATCCTTGTCAGAACAGATCAGTCTGGAAGAGTATGGCCTGTGAACACACCAGGAAAATCTCTGGAATCAAAAGGAGGAAGAAGGAAGAGACAGATGGTATGTTTAACATATGTCTTTATTTATTAATTCAGAATTAATTCCTCCTGGGACTTTCTTTGCATCAGACTACAAAATATTTTCTGAAATGTAGCTTTCTAGTGGAAACACTGGAGGGTAGTAAATTATGTTACTTTTTTTTTGTTTTTTGAGACAGGTTCTCACCCTGTCTCCCAGACTGGAGTGCAGTGGTGTCATCATAGCTCACTATAACTCTGAATTCCTGGACTCAAAGGAATCCTCCTGCCTCAGCCTCCAAAGTGCTGGGTTTACCGGTGTGCACCACCATGCCTGGCCAACTATGTTACTAATTTTATTCTTATTTATATCATTTTGCCTTTTACAAAATGGAATCTAATTCAACTGCATTTTTTCAAATAATTGTGAATATTGAATGTTAAGGCAATGCTAATTTTGGTGCACATTTCTTTGATGTTTTTAGCTTCTTTTTGTATACTTACCGTAGCTCTTAGGGAAAACCTTGGTCTACCAGACCTGTTTCTCGTGCTAGACAGCTAATTTGAGACCTAGCGATGGAGTATTCATACACAATAATGTCTTAATTAGATAGGTACTGTGATCCTTTAGAAATCTAATTTTCTTTTCCATCTTCCAGCTCTAGCAATTAGTTTTTAGCACTACCTTGAGGCTCTTGAGATGGCAAAAACAAATATTCAGTTTTCCCTAACAAGTTAGGTTTTTTGTTTTGAAAGATCATACTCATGATAATTGGGTACACAAAAGAATTGTTCATTTGGAGTTTTTATATCAAATGTTTATTACTTGCCCATTGAGTGCTTGTGATGCTAGAGATACTATACTAATTAATTCACTCAACAAATAGAAGTGGGATGGATAACTCTTCTAATGTAATGAGAGGAATTTGGGGATTGGAGAGGAAGTGGTAGGAGATATGAAATGACAGAAATGAATAGGTATCTATAAATGCATTGCCAGAAGGCATTGAGGGCCCTTTTAGACTTGCATGCTGTGTACCTACTGAGCTATCTAGATGTAGGAGTAAAGAAGACAGACATGTTTATTCAGGGTTAGGGTTTGCTCTTTGGGTATAATGAAAGGATAAGAGAGCTGGAAATTAAGTGTCTGGACCCAGGGAGTGATTGAAGTCATGGAACATGAGGTTTAAGCTAGTGAAGACAAGAATAATAGTGTTGGGAAAAATAGTGGGACCCTGTTTCCAAAGATCTCAGAGGAGTCAAAGACTAGGTTTTATTTGGTTAAGGGAATGTGAGAGCAGCATTGGAGAGATTTGATTAGTGAGGAAATGAATAGCACTTTTTTATTCCACACCTGGATAAGGAACCAACTAAAAGGAAAAAATCCAGGACTGAATTAGATGGAGATTAGAATATCAGCTGTTTTTGATAAAGCTGTTTATGGAACAAGTGTTTAATAATTAGAAGTGGGTGACTTAGTTAGGGACGCTATAACAGCATACTGTAGACTGGATGGCTTAAACAACATAAATTTATTTCCTATGGTTCTGGAGACTAAGAAGTCCAAGATCAGAGTGCTGGTAGATTCAGTTTCTGGTGAGGTCGTGCTTCCTGATTTGTAGAAGGTGGTCTTCTTGTTGTATCCTCATATGTCAGAGAGCAGAGAGAGAGAGAACAAGCTGTCATGTCTTTTAATAGGGTTACTGATCCCTCCATGAGGGCTTCACCCTCATCTCCTAATTACTTCCTGAAGACCCCCACCTCCTAATAATTTCACATTGGGATTTCAACATATGAATTCTGGGGTGACACAAACACGAAGTCCATAGCAGTGGATTTGGTCATACTTTACCTCTGTTTTTGATATACTTATTTTATCTCTGGATAACTACAGTCTTCCCTCAACAGTGGTAAGGAATTTTAACTACAAGGAAGAGAAGAGCAAAAAAGAGAGAAGAAGGAAGAGCGTAGTTTTGCTCTTTCCTCAAAACTTGGAAACCAGATAAGGTCATGCCTTTATCCCTGGGGAAATGGAGAGTAAAGGGACAGAAAAAGTAGGGAGTGTTATTCTAATGGAAGTTCTTTCATATGGAAGCAGGTAGAATAGGGATAAACTGGAAGGAAAGGTTGTGATACATAATGGAATTTTTGCATTTAGTATCAGATTTATAGGTAATCTGTTAAAAAATACTTCAGAGACTCACGTTTTCTCTAAATTAATAATGTTAATTTTGTCACAGGTTTCAACCCATGAGGAAAAAGAAAGGGTCAGATACTTTCAGGATGAAGAAAATCTAAGCCTAAATGATTTAGTCAAAAATGAAAAGATGGGAACAGCAGAAAGTCAAAACAAACTTTTTATGAGAATGGCATCTAAGGTAAGATATATTCCTAGGATACATTTAAATTTTGGGAAGCTGATTCTTTAACAGTGATCTACCTTGCAGAGAGACTTGGTTCTCTCTAATCTTGGTTTCTTTTAGTAAATTAAATCCTTCGTAATACGCATTAAGAACAGGAATTTTGAAATCAATCTGATTGAGAAATACATGTTTGAAATTGTGTTTGTTTTTAAATATAGACTCTGGTTTACTTCTTTAATGTATTCTATGAAGATTTTAATTATAAATTTGATCTACTACCATTTAAGAGAAAGTTTTAGGCCAGAGTTTAATGATTAGCAATATGCTGCTGGTTAGGTTGTCAGTCTGTATTATCTTTTTAAATGCATTTATTTATATTTTTTTCAATACTGTCCTTCAGAAATGACAATCTGTCTTGTCTTAGTGTTCCTCCAATTCTTAATTATTCCATGCGGAGGTAGAAGAAAACATTTGGAGTAATACATTATGGATTATGGAGAATAATCTTAAATCTTATTTATATGAAAATATATATTATTTTAACACATCATTATGGATAGTAGGATGAATTTTTGTTTCAAATAGCTTTGTTGCAGTCTCTTCCATTGTAGTCCTTTCCAAACACTACTATTAAAATTTTTTATAAAAGAGACATTGTATTTAAACTTAGCTCTGTAACAGATTTTGGCAAACTGTGACCCCAACCCATGGGAAAAATTGAGCTTACCACCTATATTTGCAAATCAAGTTTTATTGAAGCACAACTATACACATGCGTTTACATATTATCTAAGGCTGCTTTTGCTCTGTAATAGCCGAGTTGAGTAGTTGTGAGAGGGTATGGCCCACAAAGCTGCAAATACTTACTGTCTGGCTGTTACAGAAAAAAATTGCCAGACTCTGCTTTATAATACCAGTGGTTGCTTTTGGGTAGTGGGAGTTTGAACTGGATATCTGAAAGAGGTAGGCATAGGATGGGGAGACCTTCACTGTATATCTTTTCAGACTTACAGTCCTTAATTTTTTAACTGTGAATATATTACCTCGTCAAAAATTAATGAGAACTAAAATAAAGATAACTAAGCTATCTGTATATGTATGTGTTTTGTGGAGGAGGCAATAAAATACATTTAGTTTAAATTCTTCACCAAGAATTACATACAATCGGTCGGGCGCGGTGGGTCATGCCTGTAATCCTAGCACTCTGGGAGGCCGAGGCGGGCGGATCGTTTGAGCTTAGAAGTCCGAGACCAGCCTGAGCAAGAGTGAGACCCTGTCTCTACCAAAAATAGAAAGAAATTAACTGGACAACTAAAAATATATAGAAAAAATTAGCCGGGCATGGTGGCGCATGCCTGTAATCCCAGCTACTCAGGAGGCTGAGGCAGTAGGATCGCTTGAGCCTAGGAGTTTGAGGTTGCTGTGAGCTAGACTGACGCCACGGCACTCTAGCCGGGGCAACAGAGTGAGACTCTGTCTCGAAAAAAAAAAAAAAAAGAATTACATACAATCTTAAATTTAGCCCATTAGGATAATTTTTCCTCTGTTAATTTTGGGGAAAATGCTAGAAATTTTCTAGGGTCTGGAAATTTAATGCAGAAAGGAAGAGAACATATTTTTATGAGAGTTTCCTTTTTAGAAATGATGGTACTTTATATGAAGTCTGAATTAAATATAGTTTTGCTAATCCTATCATAGTCCATTCAAGTTCATACACGAGAAAAATCCTTATTAAAAATTGTAATAGTCATTTATTAATTCGACAGTTGTTATTGAACACCTACTTTGTGCCAGATACCATTTTAGGTAGGGGATACAGAGAAGCAATCAAGTCAAAGTTCATGCCCTCAAGGAATTTATGTAATATTTCTAGTGGATGTGACAATGAACAACTACATAATATAAAAGATTACATAACATAAATAGTATATTACAAAATAGAACATATTTTTGTAGAAAATGAAACAAAGTAGAAGGGGATGAAGTGATGTTTTTAGTAGAGTGTTGAGGTAAGGTCTTTCTGTGGAGGTGATGTTTCAGTACTCTCTGAACAAAGTGAGAGAGCGGTCCCTGTGAATATGTGACAGAAGAATATTCCAAGTAAAAGACACAGCAAATGCAAAGGATCTGAAGCAGAGACAAGCTTGAAGGACATCGAGAGACAGCAAGAAGACAAGTGTGACTGGGGAGTAGTAGATGGAGATAGGTAAAGAGAGGTAGACGATGAGGTAAGAGACATAGCAGAATCAGATTGGGTAGGATCTTATAGGCCATGGTGTGAGAACTTCTGCTTTTGTTTAATGACGGGAACTATTTGAAGGTTTGTCATAGGGATGTGTCATGATTTGATTTCTATTTTGACAGGATTTTTCTGGCTGCTCTTTTGTGTTGAGAGGCAAGAGTGGAAGCCAGGAGATCACTTAGGAGGGAGGGCACTACGTTAGTTCAGATAGAGTTTTGGATTACGGTGGTAAAACTGGTGAGAAGTGTTAGGATTTGGGGCAATGCTGGTGCCATATATTGAAATGGGAAAAACTGGGGGAGGGACAAATTTTGTGTGGGGTGGGAAATCAAGAGTACTATTATGACATATGAAGTACGAAATGCCCATTAGACATTCACATGGTGGTGTGGGGTGACTGCCCCTGGAGTTCTGGGTAGTTGTTGGTTCTCCCATATAGATTTGGATGCTGTTAGCACTTAAATAGTATTTAAGCCATGGGACTTAAGAAGTTACTAATGGGGAAAGTCTGAAGACTGTGCCCTGGAGTACTGTCTAGAACAGGACAGAAATGATTTAGCAAATGAGACCAAGAAGGTGCAGCCAGTGAGGTAGAAGGAAAACTGAGCGTTTCAGAAGACAGAAAGGTTATGAATAACTGTGTCGATGCTTCTGAGAGGTTGAGTAAGATCATTAAAGATGGGGAAATGACCATTGCATTTGGTAATGTGGAGGTTTCTGGTGACTTTGATAAGTGTGTGGTTTTTTTTTTTTTGGTCCAATAAGGACCAATAATAATAGAGCATGTTTATATGTTTTTCTTTTGTTTAATTTGTACATTATGAGGTCTTATAATAATATTTATATAGTAGTCCCCCATTATTTGTGGGGGATATGTTCCAAGAGCCCCAGAGAAAAGCCTGATTATTTTAGGTTCAAAACTGAATGTGACAAGAGTTGGCCTTAGGAAGGAGCTGATTACTGTCCATCAATTATAACAAGAGGAAAGGCAGAGTATTAGTATGCAGATGCAAGTACGTTCATAAATTTGGTAGTGGAAAAATGAAAAGGGTTTTCTTATTGCTTCAGTTAGTGAAAAGACTAAGGTCGTCAGCTAAGAATGATGATAGAGAAGGGGTGTTAAGAGGTTTGAGAAGAAGGTAAGAAATGGCCTTTGGGAGAACCCGTGAGTGAAGTAAAGTAGGATTGCCAGGCAATGCCAAGGGTCCATCTGAGGTTTGTGGTTGTGTATTTTTCTTCTGCCATGTTTGGCTAGGGACTTTATTTCAATGATTCATAATACAATGATCATGACTTGTTTTTTATTTTTCATGTTAATATTTCACCACCATTGCTTATTGCTTTGAGGATACAAATAATAGAGCATGTTTTTATGTTTTTCTTTTGTTTAATTTGTACATCATGGGGTCTTATAATAATATTTATATAGTAGTTCCTCCTTATTTATGGGGGATATGTTCCAAGGACCCCAGTGAATGCCTGAAACTAGTTGCAAACCCTATATATACTGTGTTCTTTTCCTATACTTACATACCTATCATAAATTTTAATTTATAAATTAGGCACAACTAATCATAAAAATAGAACAATTATAACAATATGCCAGCATCACTATTCATGTGCTTTAGGGCCAATTATTTTATTTAGTTTATTTATTTTTTGCTTTTCATCTCAAAAGTCTTTATTCTTACAAAATGTACACAAAGGATTAAAAAGGGTCCAACCTAGTATTCCACACAGTGTTACAGAATACTGTGTTGATTCAGGGCCAGTTATTAAGTAAAATAACGGTTGCTTGAACATAAGCACTGTGATACCATGACAGTCAATCAGATAACTGAGATGGCTACTGAGTGAGTAACAAGTGGGTAGCATATACAGCTTGGGTATGCTGGACAATGGGATGATTTATGTCCCAGGCAGGACAGGAGAGAAACAGCACGAGATTCATCATGCTACTCAGAATGGTACACAATTTAAACTTTATGAATTGTTTATTTCCAGAATTTTCCATTTAATATTTTTGGACCATGGTTGACTGCGGATAACTGAAACTGGAAAGTGAAACCACAGACGAGGAGAGACTACTGTTTTATATAGGATTGTTTTTAATATTAGCTGATAATTGAATCTTTATTCATCTGTTTCCCTAAACATTTTACATCTTTGATTTTTTAAAATTCAACTTTACTAGGCTAGAACATTATTGAAGCTAGAATACTATAAAAATTAACCAATAGTATTTAGCCCTTAAAAATTCCATTCCCAGTCTGTATTAGCTACAACATAAAGTTTTGACTTATAAAATAATACCTCAATTTTATAAAATGACATGTTTTGGATTAAATAGTTATATGAAACTATTCTTATTAAAACTTATTTATGAGAAGCCTTCCTAGCATAGACATTAGGCATGCAATAAGTGCCTACCTTCCATTCAGTTTGTATACTGTTTATAAGTAAATGCTTATGTTTTTGTATTTTATATGATTTAGATATTACCTATAATTAGATATTACTTATAATAATTTCAGCAGAAATCAGCTAGAATTGATAGCATTAAGTAAACCTACAAACTGGATAGACTATTGAGTATGCAACTGATATACATTCAAACCAGATTTTTAAAAAAAGTGTTGACAAATTTTATATATTGTTGAATTTATAGTAATGTTGTATTAACATTTTGACAAGGGTTTTATTTTTATCCAAGCAAATTATTTTCTTTGTATTATTTTAATGGAGATGTTAATTTGGTTGGAGTAACTAAGGA